ATGAAGCCTTTTTAAGGCAAGAAAAAGATAAGCATCTGTGCTACTCTTATTCCTCCAAAAACAAACAAAAAACATTGGGCAGCTTGTATTTTTTTCAGGTATTGTTGAACTGCAGTTTCCATTGTCCTTCACCACCGATCATATTAGCCAAAAGTGACATAAACTGGAGACCCACAAAACTTTGCCTCTCCAAAAGTAAAACAATATTTAGAAGAAAGATATGCATCTTCTTTTGTTTCTGTAAGTCTATCTTGGTATTAAAATTTTTATCATTTTTTTTATTTGATAAAATATGCTTAACATCTTCATGGACACATTTGACAACAGCAGAAAATTTCTGTCTCCATTAAGAACAGAGGTCCCCATATAAAACTCAGTACATGCCAATAGGAAGAGAATACTTTCATTATTTATCTTAGAACCATTCAATTTACCAATATGATTTTACAACGTAAATTAAAAACACAAGTTTTGATCCAAATATCCTACTTCCACACAGTCCTAAAACCCACACTGAAGCACTTTAAATTGGGGATCTTCAGGTTAGTTTCATGCCAGCCTGATTTCAATCCGGATGGCAAGTAGCCACCCTCACACCCAAACCCCAGGCTTTCGGGGGGGGGGGGGGGGCTCATGCCATCCGGATTGAAATTGGGATGGCATGAAACCAACCTGAAGATCCCCATTTCCCCTGCAAAATTTACAAAAAAAGTCTCTTGCCACCATAAAGCCTCACATCCTCCTGGTGTGAGAAAATGACGTTTGAGAAGATGGGAGGGGAGAGGAGGAAAATCTCTCCCTCCTCCCGCCCCGGGTTTTCTCTGGCATCATTTCCTCATACCAGGAGGGCGCAAGGAGAGGCTTTACTGTGGCAAGGGTAGTTTTTTGTAAGTTTTAGAGGGAAATCGGGGGGCTATGGGAGGGGGTAGGCGCCGCGAGAGCCCAGGAGTTGTGGGATGGCAGTGGAGACTGACCCCTGGTTTATTCCGAATTTTTACCGGAAGCGTCATTTGGGCGCCTCTAGTAAAAAACTGAGATAGGTCCCACAGTTTGGGCCTGTCATGACAGATTTCCACCTAATATGTCATGGTGGTACAGCAGGGGGAGGAGAGAGAAAATGATATCCCGCCCCCCCCCCCATGGAACAGTAGAAATGGCTTATGTTTACACAATGCTGTCAAGCTGTTCACCAGACAATGTGCTATATCTAAATAAAGCTTGCACAACCTGTAACTCTACAGGCATTTGGGCTACCAATTTCCAGAAATCCTAGTCAGTTTGTTCAATGGTCAGGAATTCTGAGAGCTGAAGTCCAAAATACATCTACTACAAGAGACAAAACTTCAATTCCCGAGAGTATCCTGAGAAAGTGCAGGCTTGAATTCTAAACAAGATATATATACTATATGCTGATTAAGGTTAATATTATCCCCAGTTGTGACAAGATAAAACCTAAGCTTTAGGTCCACATACTGTCTTTTTTAAATTAAACTTTTCCAACTCTTTCATTTTGGTAGCATGTAATAATACCTATAGAACAACTACAGTGAAGCAATCACCATTTCTGAAATGCAGGCTGTGGGAAGGGATTGCTAAACACCTTTTTAACAATAAGTAAAGCTTGGCTAAGATAGCAAACACTAATCAACTCATTTTTTTCACAATACACTTTGCTTGCTTAACACAAAAACGGCTGTTCTATCACCGAAGTTTTACTACAAAGCCAGGGTTGAGTAAATTTACAAGTGCATAAAATGTATGTCCATGTGTATTTTTAAAAGATAAAAAAGTCACAAAAAAGAAGCCCACAGTTTCTGCCAAGTTTAAACAAAGCTGATTTGCATCCTCTTTCTTGTATTTTAGTATTATGGCAGCTTCATGTAAATTATGCAAATACTTATTTTCAATGGGGCTAATTTTCATGCAAAGAAAAGTGAAATGCACATTAAAAATAAAGAGAATCCAAACTGAGCTCAAGACCCAGCAAGCTGAAAACAATTTCTCTGGCGTTTCCTTAATAATTCAGTGTTGTGACCATTACAGGTAAAAAAGAAATCAAAATTTTCATATATACTTGCAAGTCAAATTAGGCTGCAATGTGCCTTATCCTTTTCTTTTTAAGATTCCTTTTTGATGTTCTATCCATTTCAGGCAGCCTCATCTTAAACAAACAGTTCTTACATTGTGATTTCACTAAATGATGAAGCTGACAATTGTCAGCTCAAAGAAAATCTGCAATCTTTTTTGTGCAATGCTGGAGTGAGTCCCACATGCAAAACCACTAATCCTAAATACAGAACTAAATACCCTATTGTTCTCTACCAGAGGACTTTCTCCTTTCCAATGCCACCTAAGTTAATTGTGACTAATAAGTCACATTAATTTCAATGGGTGTGTTTTGTGGAGGACTACTATTAGTTTTACCCTATGGTATCACAATTTATTCTAGAATTTTAATTCTCCATACAAATATTTTACTTATTGCTATTTTACATGTAACAAAGTAACAAAAAGAAGAACCAATTCATGGAAGGAAATAATCTGAAATCCGATTTGAAATTGTCTAACTTTCCAATGTATGTGAAATTTTCTATGCATTTCAATGACAGTGTGACCCATTTCCTAATTATTTGTCATGTGATGGACTCCAATTATGTCTCCCAACCCCCCGCCCCCACTTCAGCAAACAGAAGACAGCTCTTTCCAAATTCCAATATTCTCTTCCCACTGTGAACATGCAAGTTTATTGTGTGCTAATACAATGGTATCCATAGGTCCCCACATACTTTTTGCACTATAGCTCCCAGAATCCTTTACTGGTCATAATGTCAAGGGCTTCTGGGAGTTGAATATCTGCACCCATAGACTGAGAACTACTATTCTAGAATAAAGTCTTGGTATATCACATAATTGGCTATAAGTAGTTTCTTTCTAAATCTTTTTAAGCAAGCTATATCTGCTTCTCCAATGGAATGGCAATGGGACCATCCAACATGACAGGATTCACTCCAGCATTGAAGTTAAGAGCTCTTTAGTTCTCCAGCATGCCAGGAGGAAGCTGACCAAAGGGTTACACTACAGACTCCTAGAGAAGATTTTTTTAATTGGATGCATGAATAATCAAATCTGCAAAAATCAAAACCGCAAATTTGCAGGGACAACTGTAATTTTCAATAAAATAATGGAACATAGTTCTGATCCCTAAAAGGAAAATCACATGGGACTCCAACAAGCAAGAAATACAAGAAACAATATTTCTAATTATAGTTCTAGAGCCTGTTGGGGTGTACCAGAAATCTGGCTTCCAGCTTGCGCCTGCTGTTTGTCACCCCTCCCTTTGCAATTGTAAATGGTTTTGTTTGTTTTTAAATAAGAAGAGGAACTGTGGCTGTGGAAGAGATCTCAAGTGTGACCAGTTCACAGATCTGGATTCACCTCAAATGGGTCAAAAGCAATTATATTTGAAGTGCTCGTCCAGTCAGTGAGAATCTCTATATACCTACGCTGGGAAATGGGCTTACAGTTCAGTGCCAATTCCAAGAACACTGGAGTGCTGAAATTTGTTTTCTAGAAATACTAGAATCCATAGCAGAAAAACTGGGGAAACAATAAAAACTAGAGAAAAAACTTCAAGCTTTTATTAAATGTTATTACTGTTATGATAAAAAAGAGAGAGTATCCTTTTGAATAGACTTCTATAAAGTATATACAGAATATTAACATTATTATTTAAAAAGAATGTTTTCAAACATAAAGGAAAGGTAGTGGGGGAAAAGAAAAGCAGAAGTGGATGTCATTTATTAAACATTATTATGAGAATGAAAATCTGCAACAATGTCAAATAAATGCAAATGGAAATTTCCACAACTATGTTATTTTATAAAAGCATGGATACATCTGCATTTGAACCAGCACTGCCTATTCATAGTCCCAATAGATAATCCTAATTGTACACGCTTTCAGGAGGCATAAGATAAACACTTGTCATTTATAAGGTATGTTAAAAACTGTAATTATGCTTTTTCATTCAAAGTTTACATAGGTCTTAATTTAGTTCTAAAATATTTATGCATTTGCCTTTGACGGGTGTAAAAAGATGTGCACAATGTACTTGTTTTGCCTCAAGTAATTGCAGTATTTATATATACTTACATTTTTGATGTTGTATTGATCTTAGATAATAACCTGCTGAATTCTTCTGTCTCTCTCACACAGCTTACTATAATTTTGGATTTAACTCTATAGGAACTTCTTCATACAAGCTGAAATGTTTCTTGAGACATCATAAACCCCAAACTTAGCCTCATTTAATAAGCCTTCTTCCCTAAGGATTATATTCTTATAGTGCTAGATACTGATTCTGTTTGTTCACATGTTACATTAACATAGAATTGTGTTCCATTGGGGATAATTGCTTTTGCATAGGAAAGGGAAAACACCCAAGGTTTGTTACATTATAATTATCAGGTTAGGTTTACATATAAAAATTTAGAATCACTGGCAGGTTTTTTTTGGACTAAGTATTTAAAATAAAGGTCTTGGAAGATCACAACAGAAATTCATAGAGCCAAAATCCATGTTCTTCAAAAGTGGATGCTGCTTCAACACTACAGCATAAATATTAATAGTGCTATTGGGCTTCTATTTCTCCTTGTTATTGAGTCAGTTGGGACAATGCAGGCAAATTCTGTGTCTTGTCGGGATTTAGAGCTGGATGAGAACCAATAAATTTCTCAGGTCCAGGAACTGGGTGGGTAGGCCATCAGGTCTGCTTTACATATTGCCTCCTCTTGAAGAAACAGATGCATAACTTAGGGAGTATTCTTAAATTTGCCCCTATCACTTAGGACTCAAGTAGATCTCTGGTTCAAAATGCTGGGCACTAGCTTTGACTACTGAGTCAGCAACATTTTGTCTTGGATGGAGATAACCCAGACACAACAGTCCATGCCTTGGTAACCTTCCAATTAGATGACATTAATGTGCTCTATATGGAACTTTCCTTGAAGAAGAGTCAGAAGTTGCAGTCTGTGCAAAATAAAGCCACTCAACTGCTGAGTTGAATACCATAGTTTTAAAAGAAATGCATTCACTTCCAATATGTTTCCAGTCTGAATTCATGCTGCTTGTGATGCACTTAAAAGTCCTAATTTGCTTGTGACATAAATGATGAGGGAGTGCCTTTCCCATTATATGCCCCTCGAAGGTTGAGGTCTACTGGGGCGGGGGTCCCTCCTTTGTGTCCCACCAGTGAGATATAAAGACACTGTACTGGGGTGTGAGAGAAGACCTTCTCAGCTGTGGCATTACCATTGTGGAATATTCTCTCTTTGGAGGCACCAACATTCATTTCATGTAGGCCACAAGTTAAAAACTTGGTTCTTCATCAAAGCTTTTTTGGCCTCATTAATTCATCCCAAATACTGTTGTATATATAACTGCATATAGCTTGTTCATCAATACTAATTTCCTTTACAGACACATGATAAAATGTTAAGGTAGATCTACTTTAGACACAAGTCTTTTAGAAGATTACAAAGAAATTTAACCATACCGTAACAGAATCTAGTTTTTGTTTGACTTTCTGCATCCTCATTGATACTCCTGCAACGCTTGCAAATTGATCCGCTGGATGATTTATTGTATCCTTCTGTGCAGAAATACCAGTAAGAATTTGTGGGCCTCTGGATGATGTGGATAAATGTAGTCCACTAAAATCTTTTACCAGTTCAACGTCCTGCTGGGCAACTGCAAAGGGAAAACAATGAAGAGTATTAATTTGATTCATTCATAAAATATTGCTGAATATTACAGAACACTGATGCAGAGAAGATATGAAAATGGACTACTGATCTTGCAGAAAGAGTTTAAAATATGCACACACCATCAATTAAGTTTCTATATATATAGATTAGGCACAGAGAGCCAGCATGATGCTGTGATTTAAATGCTGAAGGCTCAGGGAGACCTGGGTTTGAATCTACACACAGCCATGGAACCCTATTGAGTGACTTTTGGCACATCACACATTCTGAAGCTTAGAAGAAGGCCTGGCAAAGTCATTATAGGTTGGAATCATGTTGAAGTTGTAAAAATACCAAACAAGTAACCCATTTCATGGTGGTGTAAGTTTATCTCCAGAAACGTCTGATCTTAGCTTCTGCTGCTGACTTCAACGAACTTGCCTCATGCCAGCCAAACTCCACATAATAATAACAATAACAATAACAACAATAATAATGTTATTTGTATCCCGCCCTATAACGATAAACTGTTATTTAAATCTAAACTAGGTCCCTACTGTAATTGAGTCATATAAAGAGAAACCTAGATTTGATTTGATTCCCAAACACACTTCTTATTGTTTTATTTCAATAATGTTTCACTACCAATAAAGGCTACTGGTGAGAATACAATAACTTCCTCTATTCCTTCTCAATTCTTACAGCTGCTTCTAATACTGCTTTTATGTTTAATTGGCATTAAATGAATTTGGCTTCTCCTTAAGTTATTTCTGTCTATTTCTGAAACAATCGACAAAGCAATGCACTACAAAAAGGAAAATGCAGCTTGCAATAAATGCAGGCCCAGTCTTGCAGAAAAGTTTTAAAAGCACATTAAACAAGAGAAAGTGGCTTTGGCAAGATGCTCCTGTAGGGCCTGAACAGTAAATAGCACAGCTGGCTGCCGGGATGTACTAAGCGATCATCCATTTGTCTCTAACCACATCACTGTTTTTTTCATCTTCAGGGCCCATACTCTCAAGCAGTATCTCACAATGCTGAGTGTTTTTTGAGTCTTCTGCAAATAAAACTGTCACAATTCCAGCTGGGAAAGAGGAAATTTGTGGGGTTGAAGGGTGAGGCATGAAGCAAATTTCTTTGAATTAATTTAATTTTTTGAAGTATATTTATTTTAGATTTATACAAATTTTATATTGACAGACATAGACAGGATTCTAGTGTTAACTGGCCTTTTTGTCACTAATTTCCTTTCTTCAGTCAGCATCACCGACAAAAGCGAAAGAAGCCCCCACTCTCCCTCATCTACCTTTCTTGCTGGAAAAGCCCAACTGAACATTCTGTCTTCAGCCAATGCTCAGCAAACTGGCTTTAGCCTCTCTGCCAAGCAATGGCTGTGGGGTGTGTGTGTGTCTTCCTTCCTTTTTCTCTTCACTCTAGGAAAGAGAAATAAAAAGTATGTGGATTTCAGAGAAATATTTTCTAGTGGAGCCAATGTGATACAGTTGTTTGAGCGATGGTGTACAAATCTGGAGACAAAGGTTTGGATCCCTGCTCAACCATGGAAACCTTCATTTTCTCAACCTTAAAGAATGGCAAAGACAAACTCCCTGTCATGATACGTTTGCCCTATGGTCACAATAAATTGAAAACAAGTTGAAAGCACACAACAACTAAAAGTGGAGATCTGAATCCCACTAGAAACCAACAGCTCAAAGACCATCTTCCTGCCTTTTTCTGTCAGAACATTCTGGTCTGCAATTGTTGAATATTGAGTATAGATACAGACTATAAATTACCTCTATAATCATAAATGTACACGAGTATTGGTTGGTTTTGACCATAGGCACAGAATGACACCATATGTTCATGTGGATGAAAGGCAACATCACGAAGAGGAGTTGTGAAAGAAAGGTCAGAGTACACGGCTACTTGATCACCTGCAAGAGAGAGGAAAGTAGCAGAAAACACTTTATTTCAAAAGACACACATTTCTTCTGTATAGATGCTTATTTTTGTGTAACCCATTCAAATGAGCCCTATTATCAAAGAATATTTTCAAAGGTATTATCTCAAATTTTTACTTTGTCTCTCCCCCTCTCCCATCTTTTAATTTTGTAGAAACTGCTATCTTATTATCAGCTGCCCTAAACTGACAAGAATGCAACTCTTCTCAGTTCATATTTAGAATATTTAGTCATTGTCTACAACACACATGGAAAGTCATATTTCCTACCTTCGCATACTCCTTGCCTCCCCTTGTGGCTGGAATCAGCCAGCTGGGGACTGGAAGTAGCAGGTGGATATTCTAATTCTAATGAAATTAACTGGGAGGAAAACAAGGAATTTTGAGAATTAAGTTGATTTTATTTTGTATGACATACAATAAATAATATATCTGGAGCAATCTAGGATTCAGAAAAGTCTGTTAAAACACCCATAAAAGACTCCAAATATTGAAAAGCTAAGGTAATTTCTTCATATATTTGTATCATCCTTCATTCATCATTTTGAAGAGGAAATTACATGAACATATTCTTTTATGCATTTATTTACTTAGTGCAAGAAGTTAAGCTAATATGTCTTGACATATTTTCTAGTGATATGATTTTACAAATTTACACTCCTGTCAGTGTTAGGGTGTTCTTTATAGAACAAACCCACAAGGGCTTTCTTCACTTCAACAGAGGGTGGGTGCACAAGCATATGCTCAAAGACATAAATGCACATTACTTTTAATATAAGAAGGAACATTCTATAACAAATGATTACTTATACTCAATCCATTTATTCTGCCTACTAAAATTTTTAGTGGCTCACTAGTATCACTGGCAGCTGACTTGAGACAGAAAACTGAATCAGTAATATTCTACTTCAAAAACTCTAACATGATCCAAAATCAAGGAAGCTTACTGTTCCATACAGTTCTGGCCTAGCTATACTTCTATGTGAGACTTGGTTCCTGCCTTGGGCAAAACTCTGGCTTTACTTTTCTGGCTTTCAATATCTTTCCTCAATTGGTTTCTAGTCTGTCTCGTATGCTCATTCTTGAATGCTCATTTCAATCTACTCAGAGGGATATTTCATCTTTGGCAATGCTCACCTACAGTTCTGCTGATCTTGGTCCCCAATAGGTTCAAATGTTACAGTTCAAAGGAAACCTACATATACAGGAATTCTATATATGTATATATGACAGTACATTCAATACTGACATGTGATTTCTGTTTTAAAAGGCTTCAGACAGCTCACATTATTAGCTTAATATGACTCACAACATAGGTCTCCACAAATTCATACAAAACATCTTGAAATCATATGCATCTCTTCTTACCAAAATGAAACTACAAATCTGTTTAATTCCAGTAATTTTCTAAGCTGTTATCTAGACAGAAATACAGATGGGAGGTAGAACTAGCAAAGGTTTGAAACAATTACTGGAGATAGTCAGAGAAGAAAAGACAGGTTTACAGTTGAAACAAAAATAATGACCACAGATGATTTCCATAAGTTTAAAGTACACAAAGAAGACATGGAACTAGTTTAACATTTTCCATACCTAGGCACAGTCATTAATCAGTATGGAGATTGCAGTCAAGAAATTAGAAGAAGGACTTCAAAGTGCAGCTATGAAGGAATTAAACAAGATGCTGAAGTGTAAAGATATCTAATTGAATGTGAACGTTATTGCATTCTTCATTTTTCTTCGTGGTCTCTGCGAATGCACACTTGTGGAGAGACTGCGCCTGCGCGGGCTCCAACGGAA